AATACGGTGTTATGCCGTAAGGCATAACTCTAAGGGATTCGAGACCTCCCATAACTCAGTATAGTAAAAAGTCCTTCAATTTAAGTGGTGTAGAAAGAAAGCCAAACATGAATGTCACATTTCGTTTCCTTAGTCAAGCGCATACGGTGATACGGGCGCTGGATTCCCCTGGTAAGATCGATCATTCGGCGAAGGAAGGCGCGACCGGGGACGACAACCGAGCATTTAAAACTCAAAATGCCTAGTAAGGACTGAAGTTCTCGAAGCGTTGCTTGACGCCTTGTATAAAAGTGATGCAATAGCAGCTGACATTTTCGAAGCTTATCGTCCGGTAACGTAGCTTCCTGTCGCACCGAATCCAGAGTGATACCAGCAAACTGTATTGTGTTGAATGGCCCGACTGTTTTCTCCTGTGCTTTTGGAACCCCGAGATAGCTACACATGCGAAGAAAATTGTCCAGATCGGATTGACATTTGTCCCTTTTAGGGGCAATAAATAGAAAATCATACAAAATGTGAACAACACCTGAAGCATCAAACAAATGTTTTGATAGCCACTCAAGAGCTGAACTAAAAGCTTCGAAAATCGCACAGCTGGAACTACATCCCATTGTCAAAGCGCGATCATCGTAATACTGATTAGCTCATTTCATGCCTAGTAGAGGACGATCCTTGGGATGAACCCGGATTATGCGAAATACAGATTTAATATCTGTCTTAGCCATAAAACAGCCAGCTCTTAACTGTTTGATGACAGATATGGCATCGCTAATAGACGCATAGCGAATGATGAGAATTCGTCAGGCATGTGATCGTTAACAGATGAACCCTTAGGATACGACAAATGATGAATCAAATGAGATTCAGAGGGATCCTTTTTGGGAACGGTGCCTAAGGGAGAACAGCGCAAATTCGTAAAAGGGGGTGAAGGAAACGGGCCGGCTATTCTGCCGGCTGCGAGCTCCTTGTCCAGTTTAGCAGTAACAATGTGGGGTTGCTCTCGTGCTCTCTTTAAATCAGGAGGTTCGAAAGGGCACCGTTCCCCTATAAGCTTAATTCGGAAACCAAAAGAAAAGCCATCAACCAAAAATTGCTTGATAGTCGGAGCATAACCGTGCAAAATAAAATCAAGCCTGTCCACCCTTACGGGAGTGACTGGACTGCTGAGTGGGGGGATGGGCTTGATTTGCTCCTGGGTGGGCAGAGGGGGGCGCGTTGTGAACTAGGGGATGAACATTGGGTGAAGCGATATCGAAGGCGTTCGTCGAGGGTCGAACACACAAGTTTAAAGTACAGCGGTTAAATTTAAAATACGTCGTGTAAGCTGCAGCACGTGTTTTCCACGAAAAGTTCAAACCTGAAATGTGTAAGATGGTACTGAACAAAGGATAACGATATACAAAAAGTAATGAAAATTTTTTCAGTATGTTTGAGCTATTTACAAGGTTATCAATGCGGCAATAACCCTAACAGTAACGTTCGAATTTTGGACGGTAACTTCGACTCTTAAAGAGTAAATTTTGAGAGATTCTCCATGCAGCGTTGATTCAATCATCACTCCGCCCGTGAGAAGATACAAGTGCTTTGCACTGCAAGTATTAAGCCCACTGGGCTCGTCTCTTTGGGGTGTGATAATCCTGTAGTTAATCTCATTTAATCTCATTAAATATGTCTTGGGTCGACTTCGTTACTGTTAGGTAACACTGCAATAACTAAACTTTGTATGAAACTATTGTTGGATAATTCATAGCTTGACGAGGGTATTCCGCATTAAGGTTACTTCTCACCTTCAGAGGCCGAAAACGTCGTTTTTTTCTTTTATTGGACTAGATTGAATTTAGACATTTTACCTACCGTTTACGAAAAGAAGAATTTTAAACTCTCAAAAAGCGTCCGACTAATTTAGAAAACGTATTTTCAAATCAAAGTTAAAAAATCACGAAGGTTTCATAATCTCGTAAATGGGCGATTTCATGTTATTTGCATATTTTGTTTATAGTGCGCACTTGGCAAAATTCACACGGGGAAGTTATCTGCTAAAGGAAGTTTTTTCTCATGGACAAAAAACATAAATCAAAATTAAAAAGGAGTCCTTGGGCAAAGGGAAAGAAAAAACAGGCCCAAAGAAGAGAGAAATGGAAACAGTTTTGGTAAAACAGTCCTGGCATTCCTCTCCACTGTGGCATCCAAATTGAGAACAGAGGGCGCCATCTGAGCAACATTTGTCGTACATAGGGTTAAGAAAGAAGTTTCCTTTCAATAAGCAAGTACGCCTTGATACAAAAATTTTGGCAATCGCTTCGAATCGTATGAAAACGTCTGTCGATCCACTGTTTTGCTGAAACATTTTCTTCAGCTTTACCTTTTTTGCCACGGGTTTTTTCCTCTGCTAACTTTGCCCATTACTTAACGTTCAACAGAGCGAGATAAAAAAATAAAATAAAAAAAAAAAACTGCTGTACGATACTTTTCCTAGGAAAATCTTGATTAATTCATTGACGCTGGGAGATCCAGTCTTCCCATTAGTTCGCGGTTTTAGGAGGCGAGATAATATTAATAGAGACCTTACGCAACTGGACGGCAGAAGGGAGAGGACGGCAAAAGATGATCATGTGACGCGCGTGACAACCTGATTCGTGAGCAGTTTGACGCATTTCCGGTTTGTGACTGCCGTCCTCTCGACGTTCACGACGTGAAAACAATGCGACTGAGGTTGTGAGGAAAACGCGAGTATTTTTATACTTTAATCTTTATCTAAACTTTCTTTTCTTTTCTTTCGGGTAGAACATAGAAACATATCATTTCTTTAGTTATCAACCTCTGAGTCTGGTGAAATATTTTTTTTTAGACACGGAAACCAAGCAAGCTCGTTACATTGTACTGATTGTAAAAACAAAATGAAAACGTCCTCCTATTTGTTGCCGGATTCTTCAACTGTTTGCTTCCCAAAAAATAAATAAAGTTGAACGATACTTTCCCAAAACTTATCAATTAGTCTTCTGCTGTTTATTGTTTTCCTGGCCGAGCTATGCAACGTTTAGACTGGACGGTTTTTTGAGTTTTTGAAGAGCCAAGTTTTTTCTTTTTTTTAATCTCGTGTCGATTTACATCTTTACAGTCAGATCAAGCTAAGCGACCTGTTCTCGCGTAACTCGCGACAGGTTATATAGTTTTTTTTGGACTGAAGTAACGGCTCTTCAGCTTCAGTGAGATTTCAAAGTGGATGCAATCATAAAACAAGCCGTCAAGGAGGAATTAAGAAAGCAAAATGTAACAACTAACACAAGTAGTATGAGCAGTGACAATCCTTCAAGTTCATCAACAAGAAAATCACAAATAGCGACTCGTTTGTCAGGAATTTTGAACCGCATCAGGAGCAATGGGAGCTCAAGTCCTTTATCAAGTTCCTCCTCAAATGCCTGTAAAACAAAAAAAATCTAAATTTTCTCCACCCTCACTGTCACTTTCTTCAAACATTTCAATGATTTGTTCCAATAGCTTATCTGTTTCTGTCAATTCAGGTGATATTCCACTTGCTTTTGCCTCTTCTGTCATCTTTTGCTTGTATTTCTTAGCCAGCAACGAGTATCTGTCTCTAACAGCCCTTTTACTTCCGAGGCGATTCCGAAAGACTTTGTTTTCATTCAACCTTTTGGTCACCCCTATATCGAAGGCCTTCGTCGAGGGTAAGAGTAAACAGTAATTTTGGTCAGCGGGAAAATTATGAAACCCGCGAGTACGAGAATTACGAAATCCCGCGAAAGGAGGACATTTAAAAACCGAAGACAATTTTTGACAAAGACGCTAGAATGCGTTATGATGGCGACGACTCAGTAAATATATGAAAATAATATATGTTTACTGCGCTTTCATAAAATGTATGAAAGCGTTCTTCGCAGTAATGAACCCTACTTATCTAGTAGGTGGAAATAAGGCCTGAAAAATTTTTAGGTCCGTACGGGATTTGAACCTAGGACCTCTGCGATACCGGTGCAGTGCTCCACAAACTGAGCTAACAAGCCAACTGGGAGCAGGCCATTATGTTGGTT